TTACATTTATTTATTGTGTGTGTGTGTGTGGCCAGCTCAGCCCACCAGGGGGCGGGGCTGGCTGGCATGTGGTGCTGGGGATCGAACCGTGGTCCCTGTGCTTCGCCAAGCTTGATTCAGGTAGGTGCTTTAGACCACTGAGCCATCTCTCCAGCCCCAATTTCTTTTATTCTTAAAAACCATTTTACTGTGGAAAAAAAAATAGATACAGAAAACTACACAAAACCCATGTGGACCTTAAATATCCTTGAAACTGCCATTTAGGTCAAAAAATAAAACCTGCCACCAACCTCAAAAGCTCCTTCATAGGCCCAAGCACAGAACCTCCCCGCTGCCCAACAGCAATCCTGGCTTTCCCTCTAATTATTTCCATGCCTTTCTCTAGAATAGTGACCGTGAGCCTTTTAAGAGTTTTCAGTGATACAGGCAGCATGCCTCGGCATGAGTGCCGTAGGCTCACCACCCTTGCTCCAGAGTCCTATCACCCATTGCAATGGTTGACACGTTGTGCCAACTTGAGAAGTTTAGAAATTTAATGAAGCAACTCAGCGGAGGGCAGGGTCCTTGCTTTGTAAACAGCCTTATCCTGTGCAAGAGGAGGGCATGGAGCCCGTGCGGGTGCAACGTTCACCCTGGGGTAGGGGGAGCCTGCTTACAGTATAAGGAGGAAAAGAGGATCCCTCTCCCACCCCTTTGTTTGTTCTTGCTGCTTTTGTTGTCTTCTGCAGCCTGGAACTGTTGCCCCTCAGCCACCCTGCCTTGGAGCCAGCTGACTACAGACTGAAACCTCTGCAGACCGTGAGCTAAATAAACCTTTTCTTCCTTAATTTTGGGCATTGGGCATTTTGTCTCAGCAATGATAGAACAATGATCAAGACAGCCATGTGTGCAGGGCTGGCCAAATAGCTCAGTGGATTAAAGCACCTGTAAGCAGGCACGGGGGCCGGGGGTACGCTGAGATCCCAACTCTGTAATCCCAGCTCTTGGAAGGCTGTGAATAGGTGGATCACTTTGAGTCCAATCTAGTAGTGAGGCCCTGAATACCCCATAGATACTTCCCTAAAAATTAG